ACCACTCTTGCTGGGAAACATTTTCTCCTCCTGCCCAGCCTGACCCTCCCCTGGGGCAGTTTCCAGCCGTTCCCTCTTGTCCTGTCCCTGATCCCCTGGGAGCAGAGCCCAGCCCCGGCCTCTCTGCAATGTCCTGTCAGGAGCTGCAGAGAGGGATGAGGGCTCCCCTCAGCCTCCTCCTCCTCACACTGAACACTCCCAGCTCCTTCCCTGGCTCCTCACAGGATTTATTCTCCAGCCCTTCCCCAGCCTCGTTGCCCTCCTCTGCCCTCGCTCCAGCCCCTCCAGATCTCTCTCGTGTTGAGGTGCCCAAACCTGGACACAACCCTCCAGGTGTGGCCTCACCAGTGCCGAGCACAGGGGACTGTCACCTCCCTGCTCCTGCTGCTCACAATAGTTCTAATCCAAGCCAGGAGGCCGTTGGCTTTCTTGGCCACCTGGGCACGCTGCTGGCTCCTGTTCAGCTGCATTTCCTTCCAGCACCCTCTTTCCCCGTTGCAGAACAGCTACCAGCAGCCCGCGGGGATCTCGTACAGAGCCAGCCTGCGAGCCGGGACACGAGCACAGCACAGTGAGGCCCCAGCATCCCCATCGCAGGCAGCCCTTGGAAGAAGCTTGCGTGGCACAACACCATCCCATGGCCCCACTTGCCTCCGCGGGCGATCACACATCACTCGTGCCAGCCAGTAAAGCTGCAGCGAGCCTGCTCGTGGGAGCATGATGGGGGCATCTTCTCCCAGAGCACACAGAGTCTGGAAAATGAAGCTTTTGCTGCTTTACCCTTTCCATTTTGACAAGGGGCACCCATCTGCCTGCAGAGCTTGAGGGCCAGCAGCCTGGACTCAGCCAAGGCTGCTCCAAAATGCCTCCACTAGCCATTGCTATAGGTCAGGAGATAGAGCTGGGCTGCCAACAAGTTCTCTGCTGAGTTAACCAGAGAAAAAGCAGACTTTTTGCTGGTCTTAAGCCATCCCACTTCCTCTGTGGCAAGACCAGATCAGCTCAGGCGGCACCAGGAAAAGGGCAGAAGTCAGTTGTTTAAAAAGATTTCCCCATGTACTACACGTTATCTTGTCTCTACCACCCTTGTACCAGCGGAGGGTATTTACTCACACGCAATGCTCAGCAACATTAACTTCTGGTTTAGCAGCAGCATTGGCAGATGTTACTTCACCATTACAAGTGGATAGTTCTGCACACACGTGACTGATGGATTTGAAGTCAAAGTCACCCAGGACATAAGAGGCTCTAATCATCATATAAAAGTTCAATACATCTCATTCAGATTACAGCTAAAAGCCATTAATCTACAACATTACCATGGAAACTGGATTAGGTCACTGGACTTTTTTTAGCTCTGCCACTTGCTCCTGTTTCATCTGCTGGTCCAGGCAAGGGCTGTTGGCTGCTGTGCAGCATCTCAATGTACTCCCCTGCTTTCAGACACAGGGCAGGAATCGGGGAGACCCTCGGAGGGAGAGGGGGGCTTAAACTTTGTTTTCCCAGGCAGGCTTCAGGCAGAAATCAGCCTGGCAGAGGCAGGACGTCACAGGCAGATCTGGAACCTGTGGCTTGGCTGGATGTTCTGGACAAATCCAAGAATAATAATATATAATATTGCACTAGAAAGCTGCAGATTTTAGCCCAAACCAGTGCTGTCTTGCTAGTACCACCATCAAGGCGTTAATGTGGCAGATTCCTGGTTTGCCTGATAAACCATCAGGGTGAGCACGCAAAAAGCAGGAGCTGAAGCAACAGGTACCATGAAATTACTGTCTGCAAAGGCAGAAAAGAGCCTTTGTTTTAAGTCAGCATGGCCTTAAGGCAGGAAACAACCCAAAAATGAGTGAGTTGACACCATTCCAACCTACAAGTGTGTGCAACGGTCAATTGGGTGCTGAGAGGTCTCTTGGGTGCCAGACAGAGCTGCCATCCTGCAGCTGCTTGGTGGGGGGGAAAAATGAGGGGAAACCAGGCAGTGATACTCAGAAGGGGGGCCCACTGCTGTGTCCAAGTCTTTTTTTCTGTAAGTAACGTATGTATTTTTATATAGAATCACATCTAAACCATTTAGCACCAGACCCTCTCACTTCAAGGACTTGCCTCAAAACCAAGAGCCCCAAACCACAGCACACACTAACTCCATAAACTGAAGAGCCTGACTATATAGGGAGGGGGTGTCTGTGGGCTGATAACCCACTGCCACCAACCCTGGGGAGCTCGTGTGACCTCCCTCCCCGTGCCGGGGCCCTGCTGCGGAGGGCAAGGGGGTCCCTTTGTGCGGCGGGGGCTCAGGGTCGGCCACCGCCCGCAGGAGGACAAAGAGGGGCCAGCGCATCCCGATGTCAGGCACGGCATTGTTTCCCCAGCCCTGGTGGTGCTACAGCTGGATGCAGGTCACACAGACCTCGGCGGGCTGTGTGCGGGAGCGGGGATCCCAGGAATGCATTATTATTTGGGCAGGCACGTGCTTGGCCGGGCTGAGGAGCAGATGGCCGCAGCTTTCAATGCTCGCCGCCCTCCAGCTCGGGGCCCGGGTGAGCATCTGCAGCCTGTGCCGTTTGCTCGCGGTGGCCTCTCCCCATAAAAAGGCAGCAACCTCTCCCCCTCACCCCCTGCCATCTGCTTCAGCAAGACAGATCTTTGTTCTCCGTCAGAATATATTGCTAATTAAAATGACGATCAGGAGCGCACGCTGAGCCCGTTCCGCTTGGCGCGCGGCAAGGTGAGCCTTCGCACCGACGCTGACGGGTTCCACTCCTCCCTCCCTGCATGCTTGCCTGTAGATCAGCTCCCTGGATGGAGTAGCTAGAGCAGAGACCCCTAAAAGATGGCAAATCTCCACACCCCACTTTCCCCGCTGCCTTCAGTTGCAAAGCACCAGAGTCACATCAATAATGCACTTTTGTGGGGAGCAAGCGACATCCTGAGCTATTATCTACAGATCCTGGCTTTACGGGACAATTGCACTTCAGAAGCCTCACATTTGTACATCGACGACCTGAAGACAAAGAGTTTCAGCCCGATCCTCCAAGAAGGTTTTGCTCTGATAGGCCGTGCCATGCTGGAAACGGCTCTATGCAGAAGCAAGGGATGTCTGGGGAGCAAGTGGCTTCGGTGGGCGCTGAAGGGACAGAACTGGGACATGACAGTAGTTTCTACAACCTACAGGTAGAAAGGGACCTTTCCTGGAGCAGAGCCAGCAGCTGGGGGAGGTGACACATGCCCTGTGCTGAGGTTTGAAAGTCAGCATGGCCTTAAGACTGGCCACGTCTGACCCAGGAGTGTGCTACTGGGAGCCAAAGGGTGCTGCTGCCCTACCACCAGCTTGGGGCTGGTATCCCATGGCCACCACACCTGCTGCCCAGCCCAACCCTGCACCACCACCATTTCACATCATCAGGTGTAACGCAAGGCAGAGGGGAAATGAAAGCAAGGACACAGCACTTCCCGACCCACCAAGACCCATCACCCATATCAAAAGTTCAGGACAAACAAGCTCAAGTGGCAGCCAGGGCCACAGATCATCAAATCACAGAATGGTTTGGGTTGGAAGGGAACTTCAAGATCATCCAGTCCCACTCCCTGCCCCAGGCAGGGCCACCTTCCCCCAGACCAGGTTGCCCAAAGCCCCGTCCAACCTGGCCTTGAGCCCTTCCAGGGAGGGGGCAGCCACAGCTTCTCTGGGCAGCCTGTGCCAGGGCCTCACCCCCCTCACAGGGGGGAATTTCTTCCTTATATCTCATCTAAATCTCCCCTCTGTCAGTTTAAACCCATTCCCCCTCATCCTATCCCTCCTCCCTGATGACAAATCCCTCCCCCCTTTCCCGCAGCCCCTTTCAGCCCTGGGGGGCCGCTCTAAGGTCTTTAACCACCACAAACTCTCACACTGGAATTCTAGATGCTTTCATGGCTGCAGCTCCATTAGGACCACATCCATAAAGCTGCCAGAGCCACTGGTTTCTCATCGCCCATTAGCCTGGTAGCATCTGTGGGGACAAAATCATTCAAAAGGAGTCTCAGGATCCCTCTGCTCACAGCAGGATCAACACTGAATTCAGACCCAGCTAGTCATGACTTTGTCCAGTGGCACCTGGAAAGCCACTGGGAATGGAGGTCACCGAGCCTCTCTGGGCAGCCCTCCAGCCTCTCCTCTCATGTTTACAGAGATGAGAAAGGGAAGGAAGCCTCTCAGACAGAGCCTGAGACCTTTTAATTGGCATCAGTTGAAAGAAAGCACCAATTAAGCCACACTGCCCCAGTTCTCAGGCCAACAAAACACCCTGGGCTGGAGGCTTGCGGAGCGCAGGCAGCAGCGTGTCTGTATGTGCAACAGGAGAAAACTGGGCAAAGGCTGCTAGTTGTGCCAAGCCCCAAGAAGTCAGAGCATCAGGAGTCTCCAACACCACCCAGTGTTTCAGCCCCGGGACCCCCCCAGTACCTTCAAGCAACTAATTTCTATGCATACCAAGAGGATCTGCTTTTAGTGACAAGATAGTAATGCTGATAAAGTTGGAAAGTGGGGCTTTTACAAACTTAGCCTGGTTTTGCTCAGGTTGCGAGAGAATTAACCATCCCATCCACCCCAAAAGGTGCAACAAGAGTTCCCACCAGGAGACTGGGGCAACAGGGAGCACAGCTAAGTACGACGGAGTTAATTGAGTGACCCTGTTAATGGACTAACCTTTTACACCTCCTTGACAGCTCCAACAGAGGACTAAGATTAGAGGGGCCTCTTCCATCAAGGGCATCACTTCCCTGGGGGTTATGGGCAGATTAACATTGATTTCAAGGTCAGGGCAGCCCATGTAGCCAGCACCAGGAGATGGATGAGCCCTGGCAGTGAGCAAAGGTTACCAAGAGCAGGGAGAAGCAGCTGGTTCTGGTGGAAAAGCTTTTCTTCAAGCTTTTTTAAAAAAAATATTATTTTTAAGCTCAGCTGCATAGGAATAACACTGGAAACTGGAAATTTCTCCCTTGTTTCCCCGTGCAGGGTTGGGCATACCCCTCATGCTGGTGGCTGCAGAGCCCCCCAGTCTCTAGGGAAGCACAAATAACACCAGGAGCCAGAGGAGGGGAGAAAGCAGCAGTGTTTCTCCTTCCCACTGGAAAGCTCCCACCGTGTGCTCCTGAACACGCCACACTGAATCAACAATCCCTGGCAAACTGGGGCAGGCTGGAACCAGCCCAGCTCCGAGGAAACGCTGCTGCGGCCGTAAGCTAACGCACACCAAACCCAACCACTCTTCACCTTTTGCTATTCTGTGCTGGAGAAGCAAGAGGAGATTCTGGGGTTGAAAGCCCTAGCACAAAAAGAGCCACAAATTTTGATAACAAAACCAGGGGAAAAGAAAAATCTGGATTTTGGAGCAAGCATGTGTAGAGGCATACATGGGGTATGGGGGCTGCCGAGAACTGTGCAGCTCCTGGAGCGGTCAGCATTCTGCTTTGGTGCTCCTGCACACAAGTTTTGCCGGGAAAACAAGAAGACTGGAAGGAAAAGCTGGTAGCTCTGGATTTTGGGCACCATCCCAAAGCAGCCGCCTGCCGCCGAGCTCTGCCGCTCACCAACCTCCTTCCCCATCGCCTCTACCAGAGCATGCCGGAGCCACGGTTTTGCAGATGAGCTAATAGATGAGGACGTGCTCCTCCTGCTCGCTTTGCTCCCAGCCCACACTTCATTAGCCACCGAGGCAGCGTTACAGCCCTCAATTACTGGCCCGCGTTGCAGCCAGGAGCACGGGGAGGCCAGCGGCGCCGGCACCGCGCGAGCCCGGCTCCTCCCCGCCTTCCCACGGACGGGAATTTAGGCTGGAACAAGGGAGTTGCCATCGCTGGGAAGACCCCAGGGACATCCAAACCAGGCCAGGACGGTGCGGGGAGCAGTGGCGTTTGGGGGTACAGCCCAGCCCCTCGGCGCTCACCTCCTGGCAGCTGCTGGAGGCGATGTGGGGGGGATGCGCCTCCTCGCTCAGCGGCTCGATGACAGTCACCTCGGCAAAGTCCTCCACCGACTCCTGGAACTCCGGCAGGGACCGGCGGCCGTAGCGTTTGCCACCTTTGATGTACTTGGGCTGCGCTTCTGGGGAAGAATCTGTGAAATTTGAGAACAAAGCGCATCAGTAACATGATTATTCTTTTTTTTTTTTTTTTTTTTTTTTTTTTTTTTTTTTTTTTTACTTTTTGGCAGATCCAGCTCCTGGGTCACAGCACGCAGGGCTGGTTTGGTTGCAGTGTTTTGAGCACTGACTTGCCAGAGTTACTCCCCGTGGACAGGCTCCTTTTCAGGACCACTTACCCTCACTGTGGCATCGGGCCTGATGGGTTGGAATTGGTCCTGCTCCAAAAAAAACCCCAGACTGTTGCAAAGTGGAATCAGGGCTCCAGTGCCCCTACGCTTCCCCAATTCCAGGATCACGTTTGCTCCATTAACAGGATGGTTAAAACCCTTCAACCTTGCAAATAGCCTCAGATATGAAGTCTATTAAGTCTCTCCTCCTTGCAGTAATCTTCATTACCAGCGACAGGCAGGTTTAATTAGGGACAGCATTGCACTTCAGCAACTCAGGTCTCTAGATTATGCAGACACCTGGGCGACCATTGCTGCTTTCGGTGGATTTAAATCACATCTCGATTAAAAGTGTAAAAACAACCTGGCGAGGGGAAAAAAAATTGGGCAAGTTTGGAGCTAAACATCTCCTGGGGGCCGACACGAGCAGCTGATCCAGGCGACAGCCAGGCAGGTCCCAGCTTGTGCTGTGCAACTAATGCCAACTGCAAGATCTAAATAACCCTTTGGAGTCATCATCTAATTACAGAGGGCTCTGCTTGCATTCCCCGGCTCCAGCTTCCAGCAGCAAGCTCCTGCCTTCGGGGACCGAATTATCCGGGAGCACTCGTGGACAGGGATCAAAACAAAAAAAATAAATAAGCACGTTTTGGGCTATTTTCAGTGACAATCATCCGACGTCTGGAGCAGGGTGCAAATTAAACAGAGGACCAAATTAACCAGGGATTCAATTAGGGAAAGGCTCTCTGCCACGCTTTGTTTTGGTGTTTGCTAACCTTACCATCAACCCCCCCCCCC